AATTTTAAAATTTTTCTAACGAGCCTATTATTTGAGACACCCTGTATGTGGTTTATACGCATATATGCAGCATATATTCATCTATTTATAGTATATTCGGTAAAACATACTTGAGTATAAACCGTATAAACGTATAGATAATTCCATAGATGTTGGCATTCTCAGAGTATTTGGGTTCGAATAAATGTGTTGTTTTGATCAACAACGATTATATGCATTTTGAGTGCAATTTGTACCGAATATAAAAAAAGAATATACCTTTTAATTTTATCCATTCATTTGTCTATTCATTCTCTCTGATATGCCTTTATACAAAGCAATTTGCTTGTCCAATTTATTTGCATTGATATATGAATCGTTGCGGCGAAAGAGTAGCTCTTATTTTTCTCCGAATAATACTGCAACATAAATTTTTTTATGAATAGTTTATTTGTTGTATTACAACAAATAAACCGTGTGAAAAAAACTTCATGTTGCAGTATTATTTGGAGAAAAATAAGAGCTACTGTTTCGCCGCAACGATTCATATTTCAATGCTTAGAGAAAATTCCGAATGTTTCCATTTGCGTAAAAAGATGATATTGATTTGATTCCATAGCTTATGTTTCTTTTTTATTTGTTGTTTTTGTTCCATTTTTGCGGCAGTTATTCGCAGTATCGACCGAATCAACGAGGAAATTTTCAAACAAACGACACGCGAAGACAAAACATTTTTTTTTTTTGCTTTTATCAAAATACATCTAATTCCAACGTTGATTTCTTCGAATAACCCATTTTCATCAGAAAAAAAATGGAAGATAAAAAAAACGAGGCGCGAAATTCGAGAATAAGAAATAAAAAAAGGAATGAAAAAAGGCGCGTGTCGCCTAATGTAATGAATCACAATAACGATAAGAATACCCGAATGTCTGCCTCGTCAAAAATGCTTTTTATTCATCTTCTTTATTTCTCTCTCTTTTTTTTGTACACAATAGAGGAAACGGTAGAAAGAAAAATATTTTCAATTTTAGCTTGTGAAATGAAATTTATGGCATTCAAATTTTTTCACTTTTGAATTTTAAACAGAAAAAATACATCTTTTACAATTATTTGAAGCTACATTTACTTCTCTTTAATAAACAACTTGAAACATATTGAAAGAAAATTATAGAGCGTTTATTTTATCTCATTGAAGTGAATTCAACATTATGTACTTGCAGCATTTTCTATGCCTTATGAGTTAAAAAAATGAATTTGGTCGTTGAAATAAAATAAAATTCACTTTCGGATTTCAAAGCACATTCATTTTCATTATAATTTGACGTTGAAGTGGGCATATTTAACCCTCTATCACTCAAAATAGAGAGAATAGTTTTTTGTCTGCACGCTATGAATTTTCACACTAAAATTACTCGTGAAACCAGACGAAACGTCAGATTGAGTTCGGTAATGACTCAAAATGAAAATTGAAGTGTTGACTACAAGCCTCCATAATAGTTTGAAGGTAAAAATGTTTTACGTATTGGCAGAATTTTATGATGGATGCTTTAAAGCACTCTTAGTTGATATAGGGTCAATATCCGAATTTTTTCGAATTCAATTTATTTTTAAGAATCAAATTTAGTAACCACCACAATTGATTCGACCAACATATTGATGTCATAAAATTTAAATTCCAAGTTATCCTCTACAATCAAAAATATATTAAAACTATTTTTTTCAAGAAATAATAATAATAATACGTTTTATGTTGATGTTACTAATGGAAACCTTTTCTTTTTTCTTTTTGTTTTTTTTTCTCGGTACACAACTGACGCCATCTTCTCATAATACAAAAAACTTTGAATCTATTCAATTTATGGAACTATTATTGATGTGTAATCAATTATTTGAACTAGGTGTTGAGTGGGCCGGTATGTATAATCAAAATTCTTCAATCAGTAGCTTTTATAAAAAGTCTATTTTAAAAAAAAACTATTTTTGTTCACAGTTTACAATATAGGCATTTTTTTGTGCACAAGATGCGCTTCAGTTCATCGCAGTATCGGTGCGCATATATCGAAAGTCAAGCATCTTAAGATGGATCGATGGGAGTAAGTTTGGATCATTTTTGCTTTATTATTATTTTTTTCGAACGTTGTATTACGTTGCCAAAAATTGTGTATGAAGCGAACGACAAAAATTCCACACAAATACGTGCAACAATATATGTGTAGCAGTCTTAGCAATTGAATTAAACCAATGAAAATATCATAGCGCCAACTGAAAGCACGATATCACACTTGCCCAAATTGTATTAAAAAGGAAAACGTGATTTTAACAAAGAAATGGCATCGTGCGTATCAAATAAAAAGGAACTTACATTCGTTAGTCTAACTTTTCCGCACTGTTTCTACATTTCTTTACCGGACGAATATTTATTTTCTGAAAGATATTGAACATACAAGATTCTGTTCAGACAGGCCAAACCGTGACCGAGATGTCAAATCACAAATGTCATTAGTTGTCCCTATCGAAATCTGCTGTCAAGCAAGTTATATATTAATTATTGTATTACATTTTGTTGGAGACTTATTTATTTAGAAATATATAAAAAGAATGTGAATGTGAACAAAAAAGATAAAAAAAATTAATATCGTAACGAATTATGTAATAAAATAAATATTATAATTCAATTACTCAGCGGCTAGTGTGATTTCATACGTCTATACCGCTGCAAAGCGGTACCAATATATTCAAACATACAAAGGTCGACTCACTTTGGATAACATTTCTATTTTTTACACCTAATGACGGCTCATCATTTTTGTTTTTATTTTATTAATAAAACTAAATTAAAATTGAAATCAAATTAAAAAATGTAAGTTTTTTACGAATGCGATTGCGTGGTTTTATTGTTCTGCTGTGCAGCAGCAGCAGGAATATACAGTGATGGTTTTTTCCTATCTGAATAGCGCTAGCTATTCGCAGCGCCTGTACAGCATTGCTGCCCAGATGCTGAATCGTAGCGGTTGCCGCACGCGCAACACACTTCGTTTGTACCACACAGAGCATATACGTTCGCGTTCGTTCTCTGTTCGACATGCGTTTGTATGCTGACTATGGTATTAGTGTATCATACTCTGTGAGCTCACTGGTTACTTAGACTATATGACAATATGTTGTGTGGTACAAAACGCGTGCGGCAACCGCTTCGATTCAGCATCTGGGCAGCAATGCTGTTCAGACGCTGCGAATAGCTAGCGCTATTCAGATAGGAAAAAACCATCACTGGGAATATATTGAGGTTAGGTGTCCTCCTGAGTCAATTTTATTGTATTATTTTTTTGTAGTTCTTTTATTTAATGCACGTTTGAAAAATTAACAAAAACCAAATTAGGAAAATTGATGTATTGTTTCATTTTATTTAAAATATTTTCATTTATAAGTTTCATCGTTGTTTCAAATTTTCTGTTCGCTATATGATACTCTTTTGTTCCACATTTGATACAAATATCAGAAAATTTGGAACAACGATGAAACTTATAAATGAAAATATTTTAAATAAAATAAAACAATAAATCAATTTTCCTCATTTGTTTTTTGTTAATTTTTCAAACGTGCATTAAATAAACGAACAACAAAAAAATAATACAATAAAATTGACTCAGGAGGACACCTAACCTCCATATGTTCCTGCTGCTGCTGAACAGCAGAGCAATGAAACCACGCAATCGCATTCGTAAAAAAACTTACATTTTTTAATTTTAATTTAGTTTTATTAATAAAATAAAAACAAAAATAATGAGCCATCATTAGGTGTAAAAAATAGAAATGTTATCTAAAACGGGTCGACCTTTATGTGTTTGTATATATTGGTACCGCTTTGCAGCGGTATATGCGTATTCAAGCATACTTTCCGCTGAGTAATTGAAATATAATATTTATTTTTTCACATAATTCGTCACGACATTAATTTTTTATCTTTTTTATTCACATTTCACATTGTTTTTTTTTTATATTTATATAATAAATAAATAAATCCCGTACAAAATTCAATACAATAACTGTCAAGTGTAGTTTTGTTAATAGGGATTGATAAGTTTCTCGCGTGGTCCACCTGTCAAATCGCTGTCGTCGACTTGTTCGACGGATTTGTACTGGGTGATTCTGTTTTATAGTGCCAAAAAAGACCCCATTACACATTTCAAACTTTGATTTACGTCTCTGGCGAAAGAGTTATCAAGCTAACAAATGTGTGCATACCATACCCCTTAGGGGTACCGATGAACGAATATCCCTTAGAAACAATACCAGCCTATCTCTCGCAACCCCCAATCACTCCGTAAAGTCAGATTTGTTGCTAACAAATGTTTTTCGTACCCCACATTAACATGGCCAAAGTACACATACTGATACAAATGTTCGGTTATTTTTCCGTTATATGTTGATTAATTTTAACAATTTCCATTTTTTATTTTCTGATTCACCCTCAGAGACAGTGAAATCGAACGCATGAAAGAGGTTGGAAACTATAAAGCGCGACAAAAATATGAACAACGCGTTCCTGCGTGCTATCGACGACCCACCGAAAATGACCCACAGTAAGTAAAAACGATTTTACTCCAACTTCATTTTATGTTAACAAAAATATTTGTTCGAAGAAATAATTGCAAAAAAAGGTACTTGAGGTACTAACCATCTGTTAATCATGTGTTTAGTCAATATTTGATATATTTTAAATTAATTTCTTTTAACGATATTTTATAAATCTCAATTTTTTAATTTTATGATGAAAGTAATTGTTTGAAAAAGTATTTTCTTACTTTAACTAAAAAACTAATCATAAAGTAGTTCTGTTTCATGGTCATTTTTAATCAAATAAATAATATACACAAAATCAAGGACAACTTATTGCGAACATATAGTGAAAATGAAGCACAATGATTTATGACGAATTTCTAGGCCCACCAAATATTTTATAAATTATTTAAAGGCACCAAGAATTATGCGTAAATGTGTAACGCCTATGATATCTTTAATTCGGCGAGAATAAAAATGGGAATACAAAAACAAACCTCGAAAAATTGAAATCTGCCAAAAATGAATCTTCAAAAATGTAACATAAATTATACTGCGGTAAATGGTTTTGTTTTAGACCGTTTTAGGCTCAATGTTGCGTTTTTAAGGCTGCACTTTATCAGCATGTGTTATTGAAAGTTCGTTTCTATATTTCCACCTTTATTCCCACACAATTTAAAAAAGCGAAATGGGTGACAATAATACGCACTTTTTTTATCAACATCGTCCCACTTGACGTATCAATTTTGAAATCGTAAGAAACAAAAATATACACTTTTTCATGATCAATGATTATAATTATTGTTATTGTTTTTGTTTGTTTATAGCCAGAAACATAATGAACGAATGAATGAAATATTATTGAATTCAGTACAATATTGTCTGGAATTACGATTTTTGTGGATTTTGATCCGTCTTTGTAAAATGAAATATGATGTTGTTGAATCGAGTGTTCAATATTATATTTTTTTTAAGTGTCTAAATTTCAAAATGCGATGGTTATATAGTTTTTATTAATTGTGTCTTTGTGAGATACTGAGCGATTTCAATTAATATCATATCGCTTAATCGTAAACGTGTAATATGAGCACGCGTGCTTATAAAATTGTCAAGAAAAAACGCACCGACACGCGATTGTGTGTTCATTTATTCGGTTGAGAAGATCTCATTGTGATAAGTTTCTATTTTATGATTCAACAGTTGCAACACATTTTTAATCGTGTCCTTTTTTTGCTTTTTCTTAAATCAATTTAAATAGGGTTTTATTGGAGCAATGGATACGCGCAAAATATGAACGTATGGAATTTTGTCATATCGAACGACCGAGCTATACGTCCGGTTATATGGAGGGTTTTTTAATGAAAAAAGGCAAAGAAGATCATCGATACCAATTACGTAAATTTATTTTATCAGAATCGGATGACACACTTCGTTATCATGTAAAAGAGAGCAAAGAACCAAAGGCTGTATTACGCATTTCTGAATTGAATGTTGCATTCGCACCGGCAAAAATTGAACATTCAAATTCAATGCAAATCACATTTTTAAAAGACGGTTCCACGCGACATATTTTCGTCTACCATGATGATGCTGAAGTGATAAATAATTGGTATATGGCAATCCGTTGTGCCAAATTGCATCGTTTGCAAGTTGCATTTCCAAGTGCTAGTGAATCGGATTTAATTGGTCTACTGAGTCATGATTTTGCCAAAGAAGGGTGGATTTTTAAAACAGGACCTCGTCAGTCGGATGGATATAAACGTCGCTGGTTTACATTAGACAATCGAAAATTAATGTACCATGACGACCCACTGGACGCGTACCCTAAAGGCATGATTAACACGAATTTATTTGAAATGATTTTTCATGTTCTTTTCATTATATAATATAAAGAACGATTAAATTGAATCAATGAACATTTGTGCATTTTCACTCCTTCTTTTTTTGCTTCTTTGATGTCCATCTCAATCCGGATGCAAAAAGTGCAGAAATGCTGCGTAACAGAAAAATCGAAGCAACTAAAGAAGTGAACGTGCACCAATTTAATTGTTCTTTATAATTTTTTGTTATTAAAAATAATGTTTTTTTTTTACTTTCTCCAATAGGCGAAATATTTTTAGGTAATAATTTGGATGGTTATAGCATACGAATTGGTGTGCCTTCAAATGCAAAAAATCAAGGATATAGCTTTAACTTTACATTGTTTACGCCGGAACGTGTCTACAATTTATCGTGCGCTACCGAAATTGAACGTGACGAATGGATACGAACAATACAAAAAGTATTAGAGCGACCGTTGACACCACAAGACAGTAATGGTAAGAATAAGGATTTGCCTTGAAGATTTCATTTCATTCTTTTGAGACGTTTTTCACTATCGCACTCACGTTTTTTCACAACAAAGAATGTGAGTGAGAGTGAAAAGCAAGAGAAAGGCTAACCAATTTCTCAAAATTTTCTCATATGAACAAAACAACATCCCGTTATTTTTCAGTTTCAGCAAGACTAATTCGCAAAAGGACTGGAACAAATTCGATAAACATTTTCACCGGAAGATAATAAAACAAATGGACTTATATATGATTTCTGCCATAGTGAAAATCATAGATTAGAGAAGGTTAAAACGCCATTCTTACGCATCAATATGAAACACATATTACATGTTTATTTATCAACACATATATGCGTGTATTTATTCATGCACATGGTAAATTTTTGAAAGCTGCTGTTTGTGGGCAAGCAGTGCCGCCAATTGACACATCCACACCACATTTACATCTGCATTTTCTTCCGTTCCCGTTGACCGTTCTTTAAAATAATATTTTCTACGTTTTCACCGCGCAAAAATGACCTGATGAACAACCATACTAATATAATTCTACACGTATTCTAAAACAAACAAAATTTATGAAAAAATTTGAGCTAAACATTTATTAATCACATAATATAATTATAACATAATAAGACGATAATAACAAAGTTTTTCGCAGTTATAATATAAATATAAAATAAGAAATAAAATATTCGAGACATATATATATATGTCGTAGTTATGTATACTTATGAGCAGACTCTTTTTATAAAAAATGCATTGCTTATTTCTTCACATATTTCAGTTTTTTATTCCGAACTCAATTTGAGAGGATGTAACAAAAAATATTCGAAATCCATAAAGTAAAATAAAACAAGAAAATCATGTATTTGTATTAATGTATATGAATGAAACAAAAACACGCACGAATAGGCAAAAACGCTCCAAATAGTAAAAAAATGTTGGATTTTTTTCTGTTATAAAAAAAATAAAATTATAAAGTATATTTTAATTGCAAAAATACAATATCCTTTTTGATTATGTTTAATGAATTATTGGAAACACATTTCACTTTATTTGAATCGGGAATTCGAGAAGATATTAAATTTTGTTAACGTGTTGTAATTCAGTCTATGCAATTAAGAAAGCAGAAATAAAAAGAAATATGTAAAATTTGACAAAAAAGTTAAAATTATTTAAATGAAGGAAAATTACAGAAAAATTATTAATTAAAATTCCCCAAACACAAAAAAGCACTAGTTGTAGAATTGTTTAAATGTGTTGGTATAACTGTTGGTAAACAATTCTAATACTAGTGTTTTTTTTGTCTGTATTTTTACATTGGAAATTCAGTAATTCCGATTGAAAGCAAAAAAGTTGGTTGATGACAAATATTTCCAGTGTTATGAAAAGAATATATGTTACATTTTGCAAAAACGTATTATTAAATTTCGAATTCGGGAAGCACTATTGTTTGGTGTGTATTTAGAAAAAAAAACTGGACAAAGAATAATTAATTTTAATAATAATCGAATATGAAATAGTAGGCCGTCTCAATATATAATTAAAAAAGGTCACAAATTATCACTATCATGTGACTCTCCAGACTGACTTTCAACAACAAAATAAGAGTTACAACTTGAATCGCGTTCTTTGTTTTAAAATAAAATAGGAAAATAGTAGATTTTTCAAACCAATGACACATCAATATGGCAAATTTGTAGAGATAATAATTATTAGATATCTTGGCCTTTTCTCAAGGCAGTGGGTTCTATTGTATTATATTGATTTTTTGTTGTTGTTTTTTTAATTTCAAAAAATTAATCGTGTTTTTTTCTGTCCCGCGATTTAAAAATAGAAATGTTGACACATTTCTTATCGAAGTAAAAATAATTTGCAAAAACAATAACGTCATTTATTTATCAATTTTTCATAAAATGAATAATGTTGCATACATTAAGCATGATCGGCTTGGTATTTATATATTAAATATATTAATGATACGGAATTTTATCCGCAACCAGTGCAAATTAAAACAATTTATTTAAATGAAAATAAGAAAATTGAGAAATTGATCAAAAATCAAAATTGGTTTAATTCGAAATCGATGCAAAGAACAGAAAATTAATGTAATTATGTTTTATTGAATAAGGCTTATAAATGAAAAAAATATATATTATATTGGAAAAATCAAAATACAACTGTTTTCAAGCTAATTTTTGCGTTTGGACTCTTTATTTTAGTGTTGATTTTCGTTCAGGATTGTTTTTCAGGTTTTACTGATGCTGTTTCATTCACGCGCATGCAAAGCGGATTCATTTTTCTATAATCCTGCCCACATATTGATTATAACTTGTCACCCATGCAATTCGAATAAGAAAAATAAATGTTTAATGTCAAAATACTGAAAGCGACTAGTTATTGGCGATAATGTAATCAACTGAAGCGATACGAAGAAAAGACGCGTAAAAAAGGGAAAGATAAAAAACGTCAAAATTGTAAGTAAGCATACATCTACGTGCTACGGACGTATTTTCCCATATCTATATGATTCTTTTATTTACTTCTATTGTTTCTAATTCTTGTTCATTTTTCTTTTTCATCAAAACATTCAATTTTCCGAATTACTTTAGTATAGCTAGTTTGTTTTACAAAACCATTTAAATTGAAATTCCTAGCCAGTCGGTGATGATTTTTCGGTAATTTCTAAATCTGTTTATTAATATGTGTGTGTGTGTGTGTGTTGGTGTATGGTGCTTTTAAAACGTGCGCCCGATTGGCATCAAATATAACAAAGAGAAGAGAAACTAACATTGATCGAAACTAATTCACATTGAATGGGTGGTATATGTCTTAGTTAAACTTGGACAACATTTATACCAAAAAAGTACATTAAAGAAAGTACGGTCTTACTTTTTGCTGTGGTATATAACACGTTCATTGTTGGGCACAGCTTTGGATATGATTTGATTGCGTTCTTTGGAAGTTTTGAAGCTTAGGATGGATGCAACATTACCACAACGATAACAGTGATTTGGTGCCGACCATACTTCCGAATATACAAATGTATATTAAGCTAATATTCACAGTACACAGAAAATATATCTACCAACTATTTTCGTTACAAAATTGATATCAGAAATTTTGTGTTTCAAATTTTGGTTTCGTCACTCGTTCTTCACCTTGATAGAGGTTTTTTATTTGATATCAATAGTTTTGTAAGCGCTATTTTCCAAGTTAAAGATTCAAGACACATGAATTTGAATATTTTTCAAATACAATGAAAATATGGATTTTTAGGTTATTTTTGGACCAAATTTATAAAAGTTATGGATCATAATGAGGAACAGAGGTATTTTTCAGTGGTATGTGGTATGCATATTGTTTTATCTTTGACTTGAGGCTTAAATTGATGAAATTTTCAAGAGAATATATGCAGTCTTTTTCGAAAAATGCCCCTTATGTGTGCGGTCAACGGTCAATTTTTGGTTGATTTGCCAATTTGGCCACCCCCACATGAATTTTTAAGTCGCAATTGACACCACTTGAGAGCTTACTTTAAGACCTTTCAACGAATATGCATATGTCCTGGTTATGTCAAGTATAGGTCCCACAGTGACTGTATGAAAATAATGGCCATTTTTGCATGACCTTTTGCATAGTTTGCCATTTATACTAACATTTTTGTAGATTTCTTTTAATTTCATTTGTGACTAACCGCATGCACCTCTCCCGACGATAGTCCACCTGGTGACCGGTCATATTTTCCCCGGTTACAATTTCCCCCATACAAATCTAATGGAGAATTTATGTCCGAAATATTGAAGAAAATAATTCCTTTTAAAATTTGGTCATATTTTCCCCAAGAAAAATAGTTTATTTTCGGGAAATTGCGGCCAAAAACCCAGGGAGACTATTTCCAATTCGATTTGGACGTAATTTCCCGGGGAAAATATTACCAAACTGATGGAGAATTTACATCCAAAACTAAATGGATACAATTTCTCCATACATTTTTTTCAAAAAATGGAAGAAATTGTGGCCAAAATTCGAAAAAAAATCTAGAGAAATAATTTAAAAATGTACTTAAATGTACCGCTTTTTTTAAAAACGCCATACTAGTTTGGATAATATTTGAAAAAGGTCACATTTTGGTAAATTTAAATTTTCCGGTATAGACCAAGAGCCACTCCAACAAGTAACTTTTTTTTTTGCTTTATGTCAGAAAACTATATTGAACCATCGATTTTTCATCATAAAATAACACTAAATTATAAAAATCTGCACTTAAATACACATATTTATTGTTTTCTGCATAAATAAAATTACATTAGAGTGGTTCAATTTTGATATTTTTACGAGAATCAAAAATCGTACCCCCATAATCTCTGTAGGATGGTCATAGATACACGACTATGATAACTGTTTTGAAAAATAAATACCTTTCCTTTCTGTGTCAAACCCAGGACTATTGACTGTAAAAACAGTCAGCTAACTATAGTCACTTATAGTCAATAGTAACTTAATCACTTTTTTTCCACTTATATAAAAATCTCAAAACTTCATATTAAAATCCCCAAAAAATTGGATTTTTGTATGGGAACTATGTCTGTATGATGAAGTAAAAACGTGAAACTTTGCAAAGATTTTTTTTTACCAAAAAATAAGATCCTGAAAAGTTTGAAGTAATTTGGATCAAAGTGAAACACATTTCCCATATAAAATTTTCGTTTTTTTGTGATTTTTATATGAAAAGTGTATCAAAAATTGGTTGTATCTCAAAATAAATGTCAGATTCGGTTTTCTCGTGTCAAAAATGAATTTTTTTGTTTGTTATCAAAATCACTTCAAATTATTTTTCGAAAAATTTGAGAATTTTTCAGTGTATATCATAGTGAAGTACAATAAAACACGTAGCCTCAAGAAATCATAAAAAGCCATGTTTAATAGAAATACCTAGAAATATTTTGTCTTTTTTGTGGGGAATTTATGTCCGAAATATTGAAGAAAATAATTCCTTTTTAAATTTGGTCATATTTTCCCCAAGAAAAATATTTTATTTTCGGGAAATTATGGCCAAAAACCCGGGGAGACTATTTCCAATTCGGTTTGGACGTAATTTCCCGGGGAAAATATTACCAAACTGATGGAGAAATTATATCCAAAACTGAATGGCTATAATTTCCCCAGATATTTTTTTAAAAATTTGGGAAATTATGACCGAAATTTGGGGAAATTGTAACCGGGGAAGATATGTCCTGTAGCCAGTCCACCTTCTGGCCTGGTGGGAGGGGGCATAAGATTCAGTATTTTATCGATCTTATGCGAGGAGACCATCAATCATGTAGTTATTTGTTGTTAAAATTTCATATTTCATACATCTAGACATTTTTGTGAAAATTCGAATTTTGGTAAATTTAGCCGATTTTTGGTAGAATAGCCTTCCAAAACGGTCGATATTTTGTTCAATTTTGTTTGGCTAGTCACAGAGCATATTTACAGATTCATTGGAGTACATTTTGGCTCATAAAATACTTCAAATGTTACAAGTAACATTTTTTGTCATTTTTGGCCATATTCGCACTACCAAAGGCCATATCGTGAAGACAAGAATTTTTAGGGATATAAGCTATGCGGCATTTCAAAGCTTACACTTTGGCCTAAAAATCAGTGAAATTTTCAAGTGACCAAGAAAGGCTAGTTTTCGAGCTAATGACCATTATGTGTCCGGCCAAACGGTAACTTTTTGGTTTTTGGCCAATTTGGCCGACCCAAATTGAAATTTTTGGACCGCAAATGGCTCCATTCGATAGCTCACTTCAAGACCTTTCCAATGATATGCATATGTCCGGGGGGTGTCAAGTCATGGCGCTTTGGTGACCATATGAAAAAAAGTCGAAAAGTGACTTTTAGAGGCCGGCCATGGCCAACATGGCGGCCAAATCGAAAAGTGCCAGAACAAAAAAGTCTTAGTTTTTTATGTTCTTTAAGCACATAAATTTTCAAAAAGATCAGAATCGAGTACGCAAAATTGCGCACAGACAGATATACCAAATAACTTTTATAGGAAAATCATATGAAATTTTCAAAATGCGGAATTTTTCGAAAAGATTGATCGATTTTGACGGTTAGAGGGTCGTTGGAAAGGTATTGAGCTCTAGAATTCAAATATCGATGTTTCAGGGGTCGACGACCTCATTTAGTGCCATCTATGGCCATAAAACTGAATTTTGACCCTTTTCTTGAAAGGACCATATTTTGAAGACAGGTGGACCGATTTTCGAACTTTTATATTTTTGCTTGATCTATGGCCCAATGGCTTCCCAACCATACACCAATCGCGGCTAAAGGCCTTCTAGGCTAGAATTTGGAAGTTACGTGTATATATAGCAATGAGCGCTAATATCGTAGATTTTTCTTTATCGATTCCACCAATACGACATCTACTAAAAAACTCGCCGATTTCTGTTACTAGTTGTGTTTTAATACAGCTCGTGTAAACGTACAAAGGAACACACAGACTCCGATTCTGTGTATGCTTATGTATTACAAATCTCTGCACTCAGTCGTCAATCGTAGCTGCTTGTGCAAAATTTACAATACATACGCATACACAGGATCGGAGTCTGTGTGTTCTTTTGTATTAGTTCATCTGTAATACAGCCATAGCCGAAGAGTTCGTTTGAGCTGTGTCAAAGCAACAGTAGTAACAAAAATCGGTATCTTTTTTAACAGATGTCGTATTCGTAGATCCGATAAAATTAATTTGTATGGGGAATATACGATACTATTTCCCATCGATATATAGCAAGTCGACTTTTCAACACACTAAGGTGGTTTCGTCACTCGCGCGAACTGCCGTCCGCTGTGATGTGTTAACAGTACGAGCATTTTATTTTCAAAAAAAGTGAGGTTAAATTTGATCTCGTGGTAAATTTGGAATGAAAATCATTTTCGATTTTTTATTTTTAAGAAAAAAAATAAAAGTTTTGTATGGGAGGCACCTTTATTTTTGGTTGAAATTTCATGAAACTTGGTGATATTACTTATTTTGGTCAGAAAATAAGATTCACAAGTTTTCATGGTGATTGGGTCACTGCAATTTTTCATGATTTTCCAGTAAAATGTACTTCCATTCCTTTCAAGTCGCTGTCTTATATGGAACCGTAAGTTGAAAATTCCTTAATATCTTGAATCTGGGGACTATAAGACATGTTTTTCCAAGTGGCCATAAAATTATGCCAAAAATGTTCCACCCTAAATTTAAAACTTTTTTTAACACTTCGATATGTTTACTGGTAAGGTAATTTTTCACGCTGATTCCGAATTTCGGGGTTTCAGGTCAAAAAAATCATATCTTAAGGGTTTTTGACCCCCCGACTCCCTTAAGAGGTGAGGGCATTTGGAGGGCAGGGGTCCCAAAAAATTTCTCTCGTCATTCTGAACAACTTTGTGGTCCTTATTTTTTGATCCGATGAACTTTTGAAAAATTTGGGGCATCCCCACCCTCCTGGGGAAAAATTCAAAATTCTGCTGCGATAGATTTTTTTTACCCCCACACATACCTCCCGAAAGGTTCTCCTTACCTTCGATCACATTTTTAGCAATTAGCAAAAGCTAAAAAAACATGGATTTTCTTCACAATCGATTATAATAAAATTTAAATAAATATACTAAATGGCTAACTGTTCAAAAAATTATAAATAAAAGCTAATAAAAACACACAAATCTAGTAACACATTAAATTATTTTGATAATTTTTATAATATGCCGACGTTGTTTTGTCTCTTGATTCCGATAAATATGATGAGTCACCGAATTTCTAGAGAAAAAGCGTCAAAACAAATTTACGTGCGTACGGTTTTGCGTTTTTCCCAAGAATGCCCGAAAATAACCTATTTCGAATGGAATGCACATTTTCAACTCCATTCAATACAAACATATTAACGAAAAAAAAACGTACGGAAATGCCATTAAGTGGAGAAGCCAGTTTTCGTTTTATCTATACATATTCTTATAATAATTTGATTTTATGCCGAAAAAAAAATCAAAAGTAGAATTTGAAAAAAAAAATCGAACGAAAAAACGGAGATTTTTTTTCTTTTAACATAATCCATTCTCATTTTCGTTGAAAATATCTTTCGACACAATTCAAAATATTTTTTTAAATAAACCACAACTGCAGAAATATGTAACATTAGGGCGAAATTAATTTACAATCGAAATTATTTGTAGATAAAATCGAGTTTTGTTATATCATGGTTGTGTTCTCTCTCGTCTTTGGAGTATTTAATGTATCGTAAATCGTCAAGGTCAAACGAAACACACATCAATTTAATTTCAAATAAAATTTGTATATGTGTGCACGATTCAATCATTCATCGATTCCACGAAACGATTTACCAAGGAAATCCGATAACAACCAGTTGTGTGCATGTATACTACTTGTGTTTGATGGCATTCCCTCCCTCAATCTTAAACATGTAAACAAGTACATACATTTTGCATAAAATTGTTTTTCTTACATCAATAGTTGCTTTTGACAAATCTTTTGTTGTAAATTCCAAACACGTGTTGCATCCAGTGTTGCATGTACTACTTCAACCCACACACGTATATCTAAAAACCTAACATGAAATATCATGTAAATATATAAATTATATTATTAAATTAAATGTGTGACACACATCGTGTCTTCGGTTTCTTTTCTTCTGTTTTGCCGCCAAACATCAAACGGAACGGATTCATTATTTACTTATTATTCGATATGAATTGAGAGTTCGTTGAATTCAATTGTTAATTATATATACCCAATATATATTCCATTTTTGTTAAAATATGTTCTCGATGAAAATAGAAAACAATTTTCCTTAAAATCTTTAAATTTTATTTTACTAACTAAGATTCAAAAATATTTAAGCAACATTCCATTGAATGAATTTATATTGCAGAAACGATCGTTGACTGAATGAATGAATAATGTTGAGCATGTGTGCAATGATTATGAAAAAATATATTCGTTCTTTGATATGAAAATTCTAGTAACAAATGAGGTTTTTTTTATTAAATAAATATAAAAGGAATTGATTGAATATTTGTTCATTTTCTTCGTAAAAATATAAAAAGAGCGGGAAATTTTCAGCATAAAATGTGATGTATCCTGGTTTGGTGCATATACAAATGTGCGGAAAAAATCTCAATTACACACTTGTACTAGGGTCTCTATCTCTTCAAGTGCTCAATGAGTACAGAAACAACAACAAGTAGATACAAAATTTGCATTAGCCGCCCGAACAACAACAGTACACGGCGATTGAATTTTATCGATTGAAGTTTTGAAATTAACGAAGAAGAGAGTGAAAAAGAGAACGAAATAAAGAGAACGAGAGGTAGAGAAGCGTGAAAAAATACACAAAAAAAAATAAGAAGAAGAATTCTATTCATACAACTGCAAATAGTTTGAGTTGAATTGTTTTAAATACACAGAGTACATTCTCGAAACTATACTATTGAGAGAGAGCAAGAAATAGAATGCGTAAGCAAAATGTAAAACAAAACAAGCTGAAGTGTGCGCGTTTTGACACTTGGTTGTTTCATTCACTCACTTTATATCATTGTCTGTACGTTCGGTCGGTCTCTCTGTGCTCTGTGTGAAGAGAGCATTTGCTGTAATGAATTGCGACGTGAAATCAAGTGAACAGAGAGGCGCACACAAACAACAAGCCCTATATATCGATAGACTGTATACAAACAAAACCATTCTCAAATAACCAATGAACGTTCAGCGTTCGCATAGCATGACATCATCATTCACCAATGACATTGCGGCAATGTGACGCGATCGAATATTTTTAACTAAAATGAGTCATATGTAAAAACGACGACGAAAAACAATTTTGCCTTCATTCGCATTTTAGCTATTGATCTGTTCGGTACACATTATTTTTTCGTTCTCTTACACGTTCAGTGTGTATTCTTGCTGGTACGAAAAGAGCGCTAACACCGTGTACCCACAAATTGAACAGTGATATATACTCGTCGAAAAAAATTAAAACGAAGAAGAAGAAGAAACAAAAAGAAGGAGCAGCAATAGCAGCAGTAAATTTTGTGCGTTTGAGACGATTAAAAGATAGTTATTTTTCATTTATTTATTTAATATTATTATTTTGTTATTTGATTTTGCAATCGGTTTAGTGTTTTTGTCGTCTCGTATATCGAACTGTCCTTTTTGAGAATTTTACAATTTACAAAAAGTATTTTTTTTTGTTGTTGTTTGTAGTGAATTTTAATTTTTGAAATGATAATATTGTGTTTGGTGACTTGAGAATCAGCGAATAAAAAATAAAAAGAGATATACAGTTTTTTATATGAAAGTTACAAAGTGAACGAAATTTAAACACAAACCGGCCAGCCAATCATCGAAATATATATATACATACATTATATTTGGCAAACGATTTGAACGAAAGAAAAAAAAGGAGTAAAAGATCAACATTTTTTTAGAGGTGATTACAGTGTATATGTGTGATAAAAAGAAAATAGAGCCCGAAACGGAACGAAATTAACGATAATGAAATTAGTGCTTGTTGTTCGTGTGTCTTGACAATAAACCCACTTGATTGTGCTTCGACTCTAAATACACATAGCAGCAATTTGTGCGCTCGTCGATTGAGAGTTCATTGTTGCAAAAAGGTAAACATTCCAAAATATTTGCTCATTCTGTCTCGCTCTCTCTTTCTGCCTTTTAACCATTCTTTCCATCTTCAACGTCGTTGTGAATAAATTAATTTCGCGCACAACCGAAAATGACATTTGGACAAAATACGAATTTTTTCGCCACATTTGTGAGTTATGAAATGAACGACGACAGCCAAAATGTTCTTTGTTTACGTTTTATTGGTGGGTTGGGTGTGTTTTTCGCGCTCTGTCTCTCTTTCTCACACTCACTTTATCTCGGAATTAGCTATTAAATATGAAAATTCGCACTAACGAATTCGTTGCTTTTTACGTTTTTGTATTATTTATTTTTTTTCTTGTTCTGTATACGTATATTCCTTTTGTAACGCGAGCCGCGCGCTTCATATGTGCCTTTGAAAAGTGCGAGTTTTATAGTTCTCGTTGTTGATTTTATTTCATTATTCATTTTGTTCATGTATGTGTGTTTGTCGTGCTGTTGTTCTTGTGCGACAATAAATATAAAAAAAACAACAACAACAACAGTGTCAGTGTTTGGAACATGATGTGTGCGCGAACAAACGAAGTAGTGGACATGCACATACATGCACGCGCACATACAACAAAAGCATAGACTTCATGTGATATCGAATAGCACAAGGAACTAAATAAAGTAAACAGCGTAGAAACCCCACTTGTAGCTGAACAACTCAAAACTACCTAATGTCTAAGACAGACAGAGTGCTCTTTCTCTCTTTTTCTTATTCTTACATGCTTAAGGTGCTGCTTTTCTTGTTGTTTGAAAAATGCACTGAACAATAACAACAACACTATCGAAGGAAGCAAATGAATAATGAGAGAGTGAAATGAACGATATCAATATACATGAACTGAATGTTGTGTGATATGATTTTGAAAAAAAAAAAAAAAACAGTTTGTATGAATCCAGAACATACCACGATTGAAATTTAAAAATCAAATTGTCAACACTCTGTACTGTATAACACAGAGACGATAGTAATGTTCTGGCAATTAAAACATATAATGCTATGCCACAGAGGGAAATATTTTTTTTTTAATGTGACAGAAAAGTTTGTAAAAAAACAGTACATTCATTGTTTTTGTGCATGCATCGGAACAAACTGGCGATGAAGTCAAATCACTCTTTCATACACGTTTTAAAATGTGTGCGCGCGACAATGCCAAGAACAAATAAAAAAAAACAATAACGTTTTTAGACAATAAAAACAAATCACAAGTTGAATCTCGCCAACATATCCAAAGATCATTCATTATATAAATTCAAGGATCACATTTCGAATGCGCGCTCTGTCAATAACACACGTTAACTACCAAATTCATCTTGTCGTCTACAAAGCGAGTTTTTTTTTGTATTTGTCTGGATGGTTTTCATTTAGCGATTTATTTGATATGTGCGTGTATTTTGTTTGTATGTTGCTTCGCCAATTCCAATACAAACTTCCAATTCAATCTTCAAATTGGACATTTAGCGCGATATTTGACCGTGTTGACCTCAACTTATATTGTGGAGAAGAAAAAATCATTTCATACGCCCATTAAGCCGCTTAGCTCAAGTTCATTTGACGAGGGAAAATTCAATATCAAAAGAATTTAATAACTGAAAAGTTTAACAATAAAATTAAATCGGCATTTTACGAAGCATGCATTTTTTTGTTGACAGAGAGTGTTAAATGAAATCGCGCCAAATGAAATGACTTAAACTCACTCCTAGAATGCTGAAATGATAGTGACGGGCACAATTGACCGAGAGATATAGATTATCGAAAAGCAAAAAAAAAAACCAAACAAATAACAGTGTCGACGTGGAATTAAAAGAGTAATATACATACCAAGCGGCCACAAAAAATATATAACCCATTTATTACTTACTTTTTTGACATTTTCAATCAATATTCACAAAGTTTGTGTGTGTGTTGCGATCATATATACAGTGGTGTTGTTTGCTTCAATTCTGTCGTGCCGCATATCGTGTTATTGGTGTTTTTTTCTCTTCACTTGAAACAATTTGGCATAACGCGAGGCGTGAGTGTATAATGGATAGCCATCGCCAAACCAAATATATACAAATCCGCTTTATAATGATATACATACAACATACACGCGAACTAACTTACGTACACACAGAGAGAAGCAAACAGCAGCAGCAACAACAACAACAATAAAAAAGAGAAAAAACCCGAACTCAAATACCAAATAATATCAAAGCATATTAACTGGAAATGAACAACAACAAGATTTTGAATTAAAATACAAAGTGTTCGCTTGCTTGCGCTCAAAATTAACGTCAAAATCGTATTATCGCATCAAAATAAAACAAAATGTAATAAAATAAATTTAAAAAATTAATAATGTGACCATAAAGATATATATTATAATAGTTGAATTTTAACGACATTCTCCGATAGTAAGTAATGCAGCTTTCAATAGCATTGAAAAATTTGCATTTGATGTTTTAAACTTTGCTATATAAGTAAATGATATTTCACCACCTGATGTAAACTAATAACCCTTGAAATATACTGTTTTTCCCCTTCAAATTGAATAAATTCTTTAGTAAACGCAAGCATTAAACACATACATAAACTTACTAATATTAACAATTTAAAACGAAATTTACGATTTCTTCCTTTTCTCAATTATTTTTTTTATAGATTAATTTCACCTCAATCAGCTGTGACACAAACACAATCAATACAGACAGAACGTGTACCTTATTTTTCATTTGGTATAGAAACAAAAACTCTTCAATATCCCAAAATTGCACTAATTTATACCAGTAAGGCTCCTCCTCTAATGAAAGCGATAAAAATGCACGAAAATCGGAATAATAATATGGAATCATTTTACGGCGATAATGGACAGTATGTTGCTGCCGCTACTACCACAACAACAACACAAACACGATCAACACGTAACCTCAAACGGCCGGAAAGTTTGGATTTAAATTTAGCCGCCAACAATAATAAACATCCCAGTGGTAAAAGGGCACGTTGTCAAATCCCATCCGCTGTACTTGCCTCACCCGATTTAAATATGCTGAAATGGGGCACACCCGACCTCGAAAAATTTATCATGTCGAGTGATCCATTACAAACGCCCACACCTGGTTTGGGAATGTTTGCTCCCACTACGATAAAGGTAAATTTTTGTGAAAATACCTAATAAAATGTTGAACCAATTGAATAATTTTTTGGATTTTCAGGAAGTGACAAACGAGCAGGAAGAATATGCGCAACCATTTGTGGACGCGCTCAATAACTTACGAAACAGCGATAAAGCACATCTACACATACAATCACATCAGCAACAGCAAAATCAACAGCAACAACAACAACAACAAAACGAATTCACAACATCAACCGGTGCCATTGTGGCGAATCCAGCCATTACCACTACATCTTCTACGACATCGACCATTCTAAGCAAAGTGGGTATGAGTGGTGGATCAGTGACGTACACAAACCTAGGTAAAAACATTATTCGCAAATCGAAAAAAAAAAAAAAATTCAAGTGAAAGAAATAAGACTAAAAACAAATGTGTCTCGACTCAAAACCATTCACTTATCTTTAGACACAAATTCTAATGGTGTGTCAGTATGAAAATATAGAAGAAAGTAAATTGTGATCATTACTAATTTTGTGAATAAAAAAAAAACAATTTGAAAATTTCTCAAACGAAACAATGAACAAATATATTTGACCGACATTCAATACACTATGTATAACATACAAATGGAAGGTCAGATGAGAATACAACAGATTCTTTTCGGTTTTATTGCTATGGAATGTGACCCTAAACAAAAATGAAGAATCATTATCAATGCGCAATGTTCTACTCGATTTTTTTTAATGTCGACGTTACAAAGATAAGACAAAACAAAAAAGCAGAGAAGATGAAAAAGAAGTGAAGAAAACGACGTTTAGGAAAAATGGACAAACATTCCAGAATTACACACACTTTAGGTGATAAAATGGGCTCGCCGGCTCGTTTTATTACTATCTTTTTTTTTTCTTTTTTTTACGCTTGATCCTTAAAAAATGTCTCCTGTGTCACTTCTAACATTTGTTGTCCAATAATGAAAACAAATCAACTGAACTTCATAAAACAATTCAATTGATTTTAAGAGATCTTTCGATCCTTTGCATTTTGATACAATGTATTAAAAAAAAATTTCTTAATTGAAAACGAAAAATTGATAGCAATACCAGGAGTATTGGGGAGTTTAAACGCAATATCTACCATTCGAATGTATATTTATATAAATATATGCAAAATTCTACTTTAGACCATTCACTACTCAATAAATATGGCATATCTGGCCAACACTTTTGAACATTCGGCTGGAGGCTTCTTGATCCTTATTTTCATGGCAATTGAAAATGAAAGCAAATGATCGCATTGAAAGCCACATTAAATTTTATTGAATTTCGCTTAACACATACATATTTCAACGTTATAATAATTTCAAATTTTTTTTAAACGTTTATTATTCATTTCTTCTCTTTCGGCAGATGATAGTTACCCAGTTACAATAAAAGATGAACCACAAACTGTACCAAATTCACCGCCAATGAGTCCAATCGATATGGAGAGTCAGGAGAAGATAAAATTGGAGCGAAAACGTCAACGAAATCGGGTGGCGGCATCGAAGTGCCGTAAACGAAAATTGGAACGCATTTCAAAGCTGGAGGATAAAGTAAAAATTCTCAAAGGCGAAAACATTGAATTGAGTGGTGTGATCAAAGGGCTCAAAGAGCATGTGATTAGTTTGAAGCAGAAAGTCATAGAGCACATAAACAATGGTTGCAGTATACCAACAGCATACTTTGTTCGGTCGTCAAAAACTGACAGTGATATTAAGTAGAATAACAATTTTCTGTAGAAATATTTTTCTGCCATGTCGCATTCGTTGTTGAGTGCTAGAAGAAAGAGAATATGAATATTTTTATGTAAGCGCAATGAAACACGTATGTACATACGTGCATTTTTTTACTTTTGTACAGCAAAAAAAAACGATTAGATCGTTATCGATAAACGAAGATGAATTCGATATGTCCAAAAAATCATAGACAATTCGAGAAAGTTCTTTGTCATTCACCTCCAAAATAGACATCTTCTGAATATATGAACCGCTTAGAATAAAAGTAGATAATGGTAGAAAGTTGAAAAAAATCTCAATCATAAAGTGTTATGAAAATAATACTCAATCAAGGAAAAAAGTGAAAATGAAAGTCGATCAAGAAAAAAATTGAAAATAAAAGTCAAACACAATTTA